GGGAAGTCCCTATTTTAAGATTCTTAATGCATATGGTCAAATTGCCCTCCAGAAAGGTCACAAGATCTATAATCCCACGAAAACTCTGAAAACTGTAAATGCTTTAATAAGTTTAACAACTAAACTCATTTGGTGGCACACCCTGACCTGAATGGACACGAGGCTATTTATGGCTTTATTTATCCCACTTAGTATGAGTATTTGTACATTTCATGCAGACACATAAATGTATATATTGCCCTAGTTCCTACAGGGAGTGTTATATAATTTATACATCATGTTGCTTTTCAAAAATCTGAAAAATTCTAAATTCCAGCACACTTCTGTCCCCAAGAGTTTCAGGTAATGGATTATGGACCAGTGTTCATTTATGCTTCCCTCGGCGGTGTATGAGAGTGCCGTTTTCTTCATTTGCTCACCAATAAGTTGTTTTCATCTTTGCCAACCTGATTTTTAACAAACTTAAATGAGGTGGGGCACTTCTCCCGAGTTTTCGGACCATTTGAATGCCTCCTCGCTTAGCCTGTCAGCTGCTGTCAGTAGCTCTGAGCTCCTCGGCTCTAGCGCCCCTTGGGGAGGCCTTGGGCTTCTGAACCTCTGCACATTCATGCTGCTGCTGACCACTTCTGCACCCCCGCTCAGGGACCACTGGCCCAAACTCCCCACATCAGTTCTTCCACTGCCTTCATGGGAAGCTTCTCACCCTCTGCCTCCTGATGTCTGGTTATCACATCCAGCAGGCTGGAAGGGTCACCATTCTCTTCTAACTCATCCAGTTATTGAGTGGAGGAGTGGTCCCACAGCAGAGAGACAGGACCCCTGGTAACACCATTACTATAGGAAGTTGTCTTGTTTTCAGGAGGCCTACGTCTCTGAAGGGGGTTGCTGGGTCGGTGTAGATTCTACTGAAGCCTCACTCTGACCATAACCCACACCTCTGTCACTGAGTCTGACTCACCTTACCAGAGTCATTCTGCACATGGGGTTATTTTTTCTACCACTGTCATTTATACCAGTCCAAATGACCATGAAATTATAGATAGAGCCATTCAGGGAGACTGATCCCAGCTGTCTGGCCCCATCACCTGATATCGCTGGGGTCCAGAGGGCTGGAGGAAAGCCAGGAGGCTGGCTCAAAGGAGCACCTGGGGGGAGGTACTGGGGACAAGGTATACCAGCAGGAACATGACACTGATGTCCAGGACCATGGACCATCATAGCTGCCCCAGGTATCTAGAAGTTGATGGCTATGCCTGCCTCACTAAAACACCTTTGAAGCAGAGGATCAGCCCCCGGCTGACGCATGCAGATTCCTGCCTCCGGCCCAAGCCCGGAGCCTGTCATGGAATCACCCGCAGGCTAGACCAAGGTATCGGGAACACAATCGTAGGGGCTCCAATCAGGGATGCATCCCAGAGAGCACTGCTCGAGCCTGGGGAAGGGACCTCTGAATCCCGATAAAGCACGTCCCTGAGAACCTACAGAAGCAGCTGCAGCCAGTGTAGACAGGAACAACCAAAAAAAAAAAAAGAGTCTTGACGCAGAGCCTTCAAGAAGACATATGCAGTCATCCATGCCCTCGGGACAAAGCGTATCTGATGGCCCAAGACCACGTAAGCAGGCTTTGGGAAGTGGGCCAACGGGATATGCGGGTATTTCTAAAAGCAGTGTATTCTCCTGGCTCTTAATCTGGGATACTGACTGGGTTTATACATTGGTTCTAGCACTTCGGTAAGCTATGTAAATTTTCTGTGCCTACCTTTTCTCATCTCTAGAGTGGGGATAGTTATTAGGGTCAAAAGAGATCATATGGGTAAGATACGTGAGACAGTGCCTGGTGCGTAGTAAGCACTCAATAAATGTAAGCTGTTGTTGTTGTTATTGTTGCTTTATTGTTCCTTTGAGTGGTTATTAATATCATACTAGATGAAGAGTAAAAATGTCTTTGATCCAGAGCCTCAAAGCTCGCTATGGAAAGCAGTAGAGAAAAGAACAAGAAACAAAGAAGGTGTCATTATCAAGGCTGGAGTTCTGATTGCCAGACCAACAGGAAATCTCTAATTTCTTCTGGTTAATAAAATTAATATGAGATGATACAGAAGAAGGGGTTGAGTCCCAAGACAACAGAAAGGGAATACACAGCAACTGAGGGGACTGCAAGGAAACCCACCAGGACCCTGGTGGCTGGGCAGGCGAGCCCTCAACCTACAGATGCCGCTGCAGCCTGCAATCCCGGGGACGTGCAGGGGGAGGGTTGCTGGTGGCATAGGACAAGCCATTAAGAGGGCATGAGCATATGCAAAAAAGAGTAAGTTTAGAATGAGAACTCTTCTCTACAACTGCAAAAGTTAAAGGCACTTAGAAAAAGTTGGAAGACTGAAAGGTATTAAAAGAGGGCAGAGAGCTGAGGCATCTCCATCTTGCACGGGAATGGTCTTAGTAGGTGAAGTCTTTCCCCAAGAGAAATATGGAAACAAAGATAAAATGGATTCAGCGCTCAGCGTATCAGTGAAATGTCACAAGTCTCCATAATTTTTGCCTCTCCATGGCCAACCCTGAGCCCCACCCAGAATGTGCCTGGGTTGGGAGGGCTGGGGCCTGTGGGCTGAAGCTTCCCCCATCATGGAGAGGCAGTCAGCCTGGAACCCTGGGGAGGGGGCTCAGGGAGGTGGGGGGCAGTGGTGGGTCTGGACCAGGAGGGGTGCAGGGCTTGTTTAATGAACAAGCAGCCACCTGATCAATTTCAGGTGTTCACTCTCCACTCTGGGCAGCAGGTCTGGGCTCTGTGTGGACAGCCTTGCCATCCACCCACACCCCATGAAAGCCAGCCACAGAGACAGAGAAGTGTCTGTGGCCCGCTTACCAGTTTTATAAGCGGCAGGACTTGACTTGTTGTTCTATAAATGTCAATTATGCCCACCCTTGGTAAAATTGGTAAGAAACATAACACCGCAAAAAGGAGGAGGCTCTGATTCTGAAGAGATACCAACAGTGGCTCCAACCCACCAATTTTAGGATATAAAAGACCTTCTTAGAGTTAAGGGCATATCATCAAAGAGTTGCAAAGGATTATTTCAGGTTAACAAAATCCCTTTAGGAATTTCCAAGCTAGAGTTCTAAAATAAAATGGTGGGACTTCCCTGGTGGCACAGTGTTTGAGAATCCACCTGCAAATGCAGGGGACACGGATTCGAGCCCTGGTCCGGGAAGATCCCACATGCCACGGAGCAACTAAGCCCGTGCACCACAACTACTGAGCCTGTGCTCTACAGCCCGTGAGGCACAACTACTGAGCCCGCGTGCCACAACTCCTGAAGCCCGTGCACCTAGAGCCCGTGCTCTGCCACAAGAGAAGCCACCGCAATGATAAGCCCAGGCTCCATAACGAAGAGTAGCCCCCGCTCATCACAACTAGAGAAAGCCCGTGTGCAGCAACGAAGACCCAATGCAGCCAAAAATAAATAAATAAATAAATTTATTTAAAAAATAAATAAAATGGCAAAAGGGAGAGGGACACAAAACATTACTACTTATTTTCTATGGGTGTGGGTGTACACATATGAATACATGCACACGCAAATACTAAAGAGTGAGTATTTGCTGAACATTAATTCAATTTGATCTATCACTATGTATGTGAACACAATATATAGAGAAAAAGGACTCTGGGAGCAAATATACCAAAAATGTCAATAATGGGATTGTGCAAGGTAAGATTCAGGTGATCATTTTCTTTTTTGAATTTTTCTCCATTTTTCAAATTTCCAATGTTTTTGGTTTTGTTTTCGTTTTTTAGAGAAAATGTTAGATCTCAATGCCCTTGACCTTGACCTTGTACCTATGTATCCACCTTGTCCCGAGCAACCTCATGTGAGCCATGTGTGAGGACATACAGCAACTAAGCCCAAAAAAGTCCTGCCATGTCTTTCTCCCACTGTGATTGCTCACAAAACAAAAATGAATTTTTCCATGGTAACCTCCAGCTGCCCCGGTTAGACACAGAGGCCACTGGCAACTTTTAAGTAGCAGCTTCATGCCCTGCTCCTCTTCATGTATACAACTCGAGAGAAAAGTCGGGAAAAGGCAGAACACACTGTCGTGACTACGTCGGTTCAAACTGGCCATGGTTATCTGGGTGGTGAGATCAAAGATGACTACTATCTTTTTTCTTTTCACTCTTGTTATAATATGAATTTTTAAAATAATAACATGTATTGGTTATAGAGCCATATGAAAAAAAATAGTTTTATTTTAGGGGGGAGAAAAAAGTAAAACCTCGTTGCCACTCTATGCCCTCAGGAGAAAAATTCAATATCTTGACACAGCTTATAAGGCCCCACGTGATCTCGTCCCAGATTATTCAGTGACATTTTAAGTATTTGGTTGAACCATGTGACGTTGCAGTTTTTCTTAGTCAAAAGTGGTCAGTTATTGGCAACTTTATTTGCTTGAGCTCACCCAAGGCCCTTATTCTCAACCCGATGCTGCTTCCTCGGCCTGCAAAACCCAACCCCTGCCCACCCCCATCTTTCCCTACCTCCCCTCACCACTTCTGCCTTGCTAACTCCTGCCTTTTCTTCAAGTCTTCTGGTCTCTCTGTCATTTCTTCCAAGAAGCTTTGGATTCTGGATTAGGCACCCCTCCTATGGGCTTCCCAAGCATCTGTCCTCATTCACTCAACAAATCATTATTAAGCACCCATTACATGCCCACCGAATTCCAGGCAGTAGGGACACAGTAATGACCAAGTCAGTGACCCCTAGTCCTACTGTACTGTAGTCCTGTCAGGTTCTTATTTCTAATCTCCACTAAACCCTGAACTCTTCTAGGTCCAACTGCATGTCTTGTACACCATGAAACAGCCACAGCACCACGTACCTGACACATAATAATCACATACTCATTGAATGAAAAATAAATGAATTACTCAAATTTATCAAAGTAGTATTTAACTGATTTTATTTCTCTTCTGTACTAGTTTTTTTTTTTTTTTTTTTAAGGTTATTGCTCTCACGATTTATCTTCTGACAAAAGGAAACAGCTGATAAAAGAAGCCCTCCTTTGTTCTGGATTTCCTGGCCGGGTCGTGCAAGTCCTGTTTGTTTTGACCGCCTCTGGAGTGCTTGCTGGGTGAGGTCAGGGAAGGGAAGGAGAACGCCGCCCGCCTGTTGTTGGAGCCACAGGAAGCCAGCTGCAAGCTCCGCTGTGTGGAGAGGGGGCGGGGGTTTGGGAGAACAAACCCCAGCCTGAGGAGAAGTGTGTCCTTAACGCCTATGCCAGCCTCAGGACCTGCCCAGCAAAAGCAGGCCATACATATTCAGGTCCCAGAATTGGAGGGCACTAGGGAAATAAAGACAACAAGCAGAGTCAGCACTTGCGAAGATCACAGAGCCAGGCAACAGCAAAGCTGAGGGTCCAGCCCTAACTTGCGACCCCAAAGTCCTTGCATTTTCCTGGAACACAGCTGGGGGCAGGGTGGGGGGTGGTATCTAAAACTCATAGCTCCTGGCTGCCACTCAAACTACATGACTTTGGGTGATCAACCCACCCACCATTATTCACTGAATACCTGTTATGTTCCAACACCTGTCCAGGTAGGCTGTAGTGGGAGAGGCAAATTCCCGCCCTTGGAAATCCCCACAGTGGGAGTGATATGATTTGTGGCGTCCATAAAGTTATGCAACTCACCTGGGTGAATCAGAGTCTGAGGCTCTGGAAGCCTTTGAAGGGGGAGGTGGCCTTTTCAGCCTGCCCCCGCCAGAAGCTCTGAGTTCAGTCCTTCCAACCTGAAGCATAGGCCCTGCTCCCTGAGTCCCACCTCCTCATGGTGGAACCTTTTACTTGTCTGAAGCACGCAGGAGTCCTGAGAACCCAGACAGCAGAGCAGAGGGGAAGGGAATAATACCCCAGTTGGCCATCTACAGTGGGCCAGGCCCTGGGTCAAGGCCTAGACACGCTACGTCCTTTCATCCTCGATTCAGTTCTTTACTGATTAAGAGACTGACGCTTTAAAGAGAGTGGAGAGGACTGAGTTCTGGAGTGTCTGCCGCGAGCCCCCCAGGACTGTATTGCTTCCTTACATTCATTATGCGCTAGCACAGGGATCCCAACCACACCTTCTATAACAAGTGGTCCAAGGCGCTTCAGTCTGTCCATAGTGGACAGCATGGATCTTGGAGAACATTTCCATCATCTCAGACAGTTCTATTAAACAGCAGTGAACTAAGCCATGAGAGCAGGCAGCTCATAAAAGCACTTTTCCACCCCCTGCCTCTTCTACTCTCATCCCTCGCAAAAGTGGTCGTGGAGAAGGGGATGTTGCCGCTGCTCAATAAATATTTTCAGAATAAATGGGGAAGATCTGGTCTGAAAAGCAGGAAGGAAGTGGCTGCAGAGGTGTGAGTAAGCCCGATTTAATTGAGAAAGGCTCACTACATGGTGGAGAGCTTGGGCAGACCGAAAGGTCCTTCCTTCATCACCCATCCTCACCCATGAAAACACAGTAATGAATGGTGACATAATTTATTGGAGCAATAAAGTCCATGCCTACCCATCACTTCTTCAGATGCCTCATGTCTGACTGTGGGCACTTGCAGTAAAGCATTCCACCCGGACCGAACGGTGGTTAGCTCTGATGCGGGCAAGAGCGCCTGGTTAAAGTGAGAGCTAGGATCCTGGAGTTCCTGGAACCCAGTTCCTTTATGCTACTGATGGGGAAACTGAGGCCTCATCTATGGTCACACAGCTAGATGGAGGCAGAGCTGTTCTCCTGCCCACTTGCCACCTGGAATTCAGGCCAGCGTGAGAGCAGACGCTCCTTGTCAGGACAAAGGAGAAAGAAGCTCAGGTGGCCAGAGAGCCAAGACTGAGATCAAGTTGATGAAGAAACCAGGAACAAAATAAGACAGGGGGTTGGGAACAACCCCAGAGCGGTAGGGTCGACCAGATGCACACTGAGAAGGGGACGGCAATTGGAAGGAAGATCCAAGTCTGACAGCATCCGGTGTTGGTGAGGATGATGGAAATGGTCACTCTTGTACACTGCTGGTGAGACTGCATATTGGTGGGGCCCTTCAGAGGACAATTTAACATTGTCTAGTAGAATTTAAAATGTGCATCCCTGTGACTCAGAAATCTCACTACTTCTCTAGGGAAATATTTGCACATGTGCACAGAGACAGACATAAAACTTCACGGCAGCATTTCCTACGATCATGAGAAACTAGAAGAAACTTAGATGTCCAACCACGGGGATGGATCCATCGAAAGCAGTGTATCCACACTAAGGGAATACTACGAAGCAATTATGTAGAGCATGGAGGATCCATCCAGGACCACCACATCACACACCATATCTTTGAATGAATTAGAATAGTCAGAGAAAGACAGCCTTCTCTTTGGGTTAAGCTAGCGGAGATGGGCTGGGTTTCAGCCTCCCTCATGCCCTCCAGGCTGTGTTACCAGAGAGAGAGCTCTGAGTTCAGTCCTTCCAACCTGAAGGACCATGTCAAATGGAAAAACAAGTTATAGAATAGTGTGCAAAACAGAATGCCTTTAATAAATTTAAACACACATTCTTTATATTTTCTACGGGGACATAAATACACAGCATGCATGTTAATGAGTAGAAAAAGAGCTAGGGGGTACATGTCTTCCTGCCATAGCTATTACTTCTTTAGTGGGAGGGTGGCACTGTTTGTCAAAGTGGTCTGTAATCTTATCCAAAGTGTTTTGCTTTAATGTTTCACAAGGAGAATGCATTTCTTTATAATTTGTATAATTAACTTTTAAATTAAAAACTAAAAAATGGAAAGTTGGGAAGTTGGGTTTTTGGGACAGAAGAAGAAATCTATGACATCCTAGGTGACACTCACACCACCATCACCACTAGATTTGAAGGCATCTTGCTCCATGGGCCAAAAACCCACACGAGTCCCTCCTGGACCTCAATTTGGAACTCAAGTTTCTAGGGTAGAGAGTGACAGAGTGCTCACATTGGATGAAAGAAGTTTTTAAAAATCAGAGAAAAGTAAACCTAGTGAGGCTCTCTCTTTTAGGTATGCCTGCAGGCAACCTTGGTGACTTCAGCCTCAGAAATCCCAGCTTTGTCCTCAAGGCTGGAAAATAACTGGAGAAAGTGGGGGAAGGAAGTGGAGTCTCCCCTTTCCCCATCTTCTCCCAGAAGCGGCATTTCCCCCAAAGCAAGGAGTACCTCTGTGCCCCGGTGGAAAATGGTGAGACAGTCAACACAGTCAACTTAAGCAAGATCAAAAGAACCATCCGATGACTTTGGGGGGCTTTATCACAGTGAAAAGAAGGTGAGGGAAGTTGACTGGTCTTGAAATTGTTTTTTAATGGTTTGATTTCACGGTCTTCTTGTTACTTAAGTACCATTCATCTTCCTTCAAATCTCTAGCGGGAGCTTCATGTGGCTTGGCAGCTCAATTTCCTCTCAGCCTACCCTACCAGATGAGACAAAAGGTCCACCGGTCACTTATCTAGGCAAAGCATATTCGGAGCCATTGGAAGCTGCATCACCTGGCAGGCTGTACTGAACCAGAGAGAAATCAAGGCCCCCTTACCACATGAGAGTTGTGTAAGTTGACCCCTTCTTCCCATCCCTCCCCTACTGCCCAGTGTAGACCAGCTAGAAACATGAGCGATGGGAAATAAGGGAAAGGAAGACCATGTTTTCTCTCCCTACAAGTCCTTTGAGCCACAAGTCTAGGCAGCAATGGCAGAGGAGAAATCACAGCACTGGATAGAAGATTGGTGTTTTTATTAGGACCTGGCTGTATTTAATCACTGAAAGTGGCCAGAAAGTTGTGGACTGTGCCAAGATAAATTAAAGATCAAGAAAAGCAGATATCACAGAGCACAGCAATGGGGAGGAAAAACATGTCTCATGTTTCTATCTCTACCACACTGAGTGTTCCCAATGAACCACTTACATTTGGATTCTCTTAGTTGACCTATTTTTCCTAATCCTTTTGAGCCATTCAAAGCTCATTTTTATGTATCTTTTTAGGGATGAGAAACGAAACCAGAGCTCTCTGTCTCTCCCTTTGCTTTGCTTATATCTGCTTGGTTCATTCTCTCCCACAGCAGACAGGCTTTCTCTGAGTGGTAGAGAATAAGGCCACCTTCTTCTTCAACTTCAACTCCTTTCTGATCCATAACCCCTGGGACAGGGCCCTTCTCCAACTCCAACCGAAAAGTCTCAGAGACGGACCCTGATTGGTCTTGCTTGGGTCACATGATCCCCCAGCAAGGGGTCAGAGTCTTGTAACTGTCACACCCCCTCCCAGGTCATGTGTTTGGAGTTGGGGATGTGCAGTTCGTCAGAGCAGGGATGGGGCATGCTGGAACAAAGTACTGAGCAGGGCCCACGTGATTCTAATGCACATCTTCAGTAAGTACAGCCTCCATTCTTCTGATATCTTGGAATTCTTGTCTCTCTACTTTTAAAGGATAGTTTAAATCATGTGAGAGTTTAAAAAAAAAAACTCCTTTTAACAGAATCAGGTGATTATGAAACAATAAAAATGAGTGATAGAAATTTCCATATTTTAGCTTCCTCCTCCCTAAAAGTTATAAAGGCCCATTTGTAACAAAAGAACCTCCCTTTTGCCGTCCTTTTTCTTTCTTTTGACAATAACCAGGGCTCTTAGAAAAGACTCATTCTCTTATTCAGTGAAATTTTATCCACTTATTCATATTTCAAAATATTTGGAAAAGTTAAATTTAAGTAATTTTCTAATATCTAAGCAGGACCTTAAAAAGAATCAATTGCTCTTCAGTCCATTTCCATACCCCCAGAGACCACAAGTTTGGTCTTTAGTTCAAGGTAGCAAAGATTAACTACTAGAGCTTCAGGAACTTTGGAGATGTACAGAATAGCATATTGCTAAACACCCCTCTTGCTTTTTGCAAGACTGATCTCAAAAGCTATGTCCTCTCTGACCAGCCACCCATTCCAACCTAAGTGGAACTGATCACGCCCACTTCGTCCCTACCATTGTTCTGAAGTCTACCAATCATAACAGGAAGACCATCATGGTGGAGATAATGGGGGCTATGTTTATTTATCCCTCTCTTCCTTCCAGGCTGTGCATTTCTTAGGTTCGTGTCTGATTCACCACTGTGTTCCCTACATGCATTTGAGGGTGTGGCACAGTGGCAGTCTCTGGGATGGATGGATGGATGGATGGATGGATGGATGGATGATGAAGTTCCTCTTGACGCCGAGAGTGTAGGTGATTCGTGAGTATGTGAGGCTATGGATGTGCTAGTGATTCAGGCCATTTTGATGTGGCATTTCCACAAGACCTACAATGAGTGAATAAATGACGTCCCTGACTGCAGAGGACCCCATCATCAATCTTGTGCCTCAAGCAGGCTCTCAAGGAGACGGAGTCGCTTTGTCCATCTTTGCTTTAGTTGGTTGTACAAGGCACAGCTTGGAGTGTTTCTCTGTTTCCTCGGCGGCTGTGGACCGCACCCGCAGTGTTCACCTGTGAACTCTCTCCCAGAGCAGAACCAGCGTGCTGCGCCCCCCCCCCCACCCCAGTAGTGCCAAGCCTCAGGGAATGCTGCCCTCCTGTCTCCCGCCGACAGCCAAGGCTCTGCAGAGCCTCAGAGGCGAGAAAGCAAAGCTCCCCAGAGGCCCAGTGCTCCCTGGCAGGCATCCCCAGGGATTCAGGGCAGGCAGAGAATTGTCTCAGGGGCGGGCTTCCCTCCCACTTGACTGTGGCCCTGTGCAGGGCATGGAGAGGGAGTGGGGCACTGTGTGCAAGGCCGGGGAACCAGAGGAGGGCTGACACTCCTGTGAGACCGCTTGGCTCCCCAGCTTCCAGCCCTGCACAGAATCTCCACATTGCTTCTCCTCCAAGTTCTCCAGAAGCAGTGGTCTCAGGAGGTACAGCCTGGACACCCCCCCACACCCAAGGACCTCGGGGCGGGCGGTGCCCTGCCATGCTGAGGCCACGCTGATTTGTAACTCAGCTGAGTTGACATCAAAGCCATCACTGGGCTCATCTAAGTTTTCTCTCCCTGGGCAGCTCATCCACAGCTGGAACTAACCACCCCCGTGCAGACCACACCCACTCTGAGCCTGCATCTTCAGGGAGGAGCTGCCACTGGGGCCTCCCACAAGCACCCCAAACTCAGCATGTCCCAAAGCTCACCTTCCCCCAAACCTGCTCTTCATCCTGCCTTGGGCAGCGTCACGTTCCAGACAGAACCGTGAGAGCTGCTCTCCCCACAGTCCCGCTCCTGCACCCAGTCATTCACAAAGCACAGCTGATTCTACCTCTCGACTCACTCCTACCCCTTCTCTCGTCGTTCTCCCTCTCCATTCCTGTTGCCCTGTTTGGTCCAGGTGGGTCACCTCTTCCCTGAGCAACTGGGGAGTCCACTGCAGGTCTCCCTCACCCCCTGCCTCCTGCCTGACTCTATGGCCCTCTACAGACACCTGTGGGTGTACAATGTCTTCCCTTGTGATCTTCCAGAAACGTAATTCTGATCCTGCAACCCTTCTGCTGAAAACCTTTGGAAGGCTTGCCCTAGCTTCCAGAAAACTCCAATTCCTCTGTGCTGGGCAGAAGGTTCTATTGATATTTGACCCCTCCTTTTCTCTTGAGCTCACCTCTGGTCAGTCAAATCCCAGGGAGAATGATAATTAGACAAATCAGTCGCAGGGAGAGCAAAAGCCTCTGGGCCCATGGCTTTGCCCATTTTAAAGGTCACCCAGGCAGAGGCAGCCATCCATGCGGGGGAGGCTGGTCAGAGTTGAAGGCTCCTAGCTGCCACTTTAAAGGGTGATAGCATTTGCCCCAATACCCTGTTCATGCTCCTGCACCCCTCAGGAGAGCGTCTTTCAGGATTCCAGGCTCCCAGGAAGCTTATGTCTCTCTCCTCTGCCCACATCTGAGTAACGGGCTAATGATTGATGTTCGCTAAGCTCCTACCGAATGTTCCAGGTACCAGGCTATGCCCTGTCTCATTTAATCTTCACAGCACCCCTGTGACGCAGTACAATCGTTACCCTCATTTTACAGATGACCAACTTGAGTCGCAGAGGTCAAGTTGCTTGCCCAAGGTCACATAGACAGAGAGTGGCAGAGCCGGGATTTGTAATCATGGGTATGCCCTACACTGCTAGGCCATGATGTTTCTTAGGTTCAGGAAGCCAAAGCTCTTCCAAGAGCAGGACGGGGAGGGCGCTCTACAGCGTGGTGTTTTACTCCTTTGTGTATACTTCTAGCACGGGTAATCAGCAGCTGGCATCTCTTCTGAAAAGATGCTTTTGCCCGCTTTGTGGATTTAGGCATCCCGTGGAACAGGAAAAATGCAGAAGTATCTTGGTGGTGAGTTGCAGCTTGGCCTACCGGAAGATCTTGTCTTGGCCAAATTTGGGGAGAAAAAGAGGAAGCTCCGCTTGGTCACTCTGATCTCAGAGGCTGCAGGCAGGGAAGCTCAGTTCAGAAAGTGACCTCCCACATGCCCGGAAATGAGTTTGATTGTGGATTTAAACCCACTGCCGTGGTTCCACCAGGGACAGGAGGAAGTGTGCTCTGCATCTCAGAGATGGCAGCTGAGACGTGTGTGTCCTGGGTCTCCCCTTCAATGTGAAGAAAGCCTCGTCATCTCCTACAGATGATAGGAGGTGAGACCAGAGCCCACAGGATGCCACAGGGGAGGTCACGAGAAGCGCTGTATTAGGCGTGAAGACTGGCACTTGGGAGCCGAGATGAGATTTCACAGACATGGCTGATCCCTTAAAAAGTGAATCTCTCAAGCTTCCTGTCTCGTCCTTATGGCTCTTCATCATCGATTTGGCTTTGGATTTAAGGTCAGTGAAAACATACAGCACAGGTTATTCAGAAACTGCCTCTAAGGAGGTGGCTGCTTCCTTCACAGTGGAAACATGGAATTTGACCTGTGTTCTTATCCCATCCTGGGCAACACAGAGGAGCCGGGCTTGAGGATTGGGGATGCAGGAGCGGACCCTAACTGCGGGGCAGTCCACGCAGGGTGGATATGTATTCCTGGCATTCAGGAGAATGATTTATGACTTCATTTTATGTTTTAATGCTTTCTGTCAAAATTCCAAGAAGCCATAGTGACTGATGGGCAGCACAGAAAGAGGAAGAAGGCTGTAGTGGAAACAGCCCAGATGAATGCTTAAAGTGAACAAGCAGTTGTTCAGCAAATGTCTTCTGAGCACCTACCATAGCCTCCTCGCTGATTCCCAGGGAAGCAGAGTTCAGAGCCACCCCCATCCCCCCTTGAAGGACACTGAAGGCTCTAGCAATGCCTGACCTCTCTGGCAGAATGACGGTTGACAATCCTTCTAACCGGGGTGTGGGGAGAGAATAGCGTCTTAGAGGAGCCCTGGTTCATGCCAACCACCCCAACCAGCAGTGAAGCTTCAGAAAAACTGAGCCGACGAGCTCACCCAGGGCAGAGAGAGACAAGACACAGCTCTTTGCTCTTTCCGGGTTCCAAATCCTGCACAGCCCCGAGCACACACCAGTTAGACACGATTCTGGCCCCGCTGATGTCTGCCCGACCTCATCCCTCTGACACCAAGGTGTTCTTCCCACAGGCTACCCAGAGCCTTCTGCAAAACAGCCGAAAAGCCCCGCCTCGAGGAGCTTGGTGTCCATGGTGGGCCCTCCGCCCATTTCCACTCTCTACTCCAGCCTCTCCTTTGAAATAAATGTATTCAGTACAACGGTACAAAATGGATGAAACAGTTGTTTTTAAATGATTTCATGCCCCTCCCAAAGGCACTCTTTTGTTCTTCTGTTTAATTTTTACATCACCTTGGCAATAACAAACTCGAGGGCGGATTCATCAAAGGAAACTGATAATTGCTAACTGTACATTTTATTTGGTTCATTATTTTGTTAACACCTGATTCCGAAAAATACTCCTTCTGAACAGGGTGGAAGCGGCATAAAAATTATTAGCAACAAAGAGATCCTTTTTTGCATAGAAATAGGTTCATTACCTGCCAGCTGCAGTAAGTGTGTGGGACTTGCTTTGTGGCAGCCAACAACATCTATCAAGCACTTTCCACCTGCCTCCAGGTAAACAAACCCTTATAACCTAAGGGCTTGGTTCTGTTTTGCTTTGCAGAAACGTACCCGTATTGTCCTGGTTGGGATTCCAGATGGGTGGAAAATAGTACAGTACCAGGGACATGGGGTCGAAAAGTGGGCCTGGGGCAGCCCCAAAAAGGCAACAAGGTGTAGGATGTCCTAAGGGTTGGTTGGGGGGAGCATACTGGGAGACCCCTGAATCACTGAGAGCAGTAGAAAGTGTGTGTGATTCATTCCACGTTTATGAAGTACTTCCTATGCGCACAGTCAGCAGCAGAATTCAAATGTATGTAAGTAGTGGGTAGTGGGTACCCGTGGATGCCTCCCAACAGATTTCAATGCCTTTACTGTGTTTGGGGAAATTCTCTGGTTCAGGACTGCCCCCCTCCCGCCCCCACCCAATGCAAGAGAGAAGCTATTTAGAATGCCTCTTGCCCAGCTGCTACTGCTTCTCAGGTGCAGGCACGAGATAGCCTTCACCAATCTGATACCCACAGGAGACTTCGATTGGGAAGCTAATGCCATGAAGAATTTGGTGGCACATGGAACCCATTCAGCTGAGCGAAGCGGCAGAGTATCCAGTTCCCTGTGACAAAGGTTCCAAGGAGCATCCCAGCCCCAGACTCGGGTACGTGAACGTGATATTTGTGTCCAGGGATGTATTCTATTTGTGATAGAATCTGGCCACTATTTTTTGCCGCTGGGCGTTCAGGTTTGTTCCTCTGGACCTCTCAGATTCTCTGAGTTATCTGATAATGCTTGAACAAATTCCTTTTCTGCTGAAACCGGCTAGAATGAGTTTCTGACATTTGCAGTTGGGAACCCACTGTGCTTATAGCTCTATATGCTGCAAATGACAGAAGCCCAAAGGACATTTGCTGGGTTGTGAAACCGAAAACATCCAGGAGTATGTAGCTTCAGATATGGTTAGATACATGGACTAGGTCCAACTACATAATGTGCAAGGCCCAGCACAAATTGAATGTACAGGGCCCTTTTTCAAAAAGTATTACGAATTTCAAGTTGACGATGTAAGAGCATTAAACCAAGGGTCCTTCTAAGTGCAGAGCCCTATGTGACCGCACAGATTGCATTCCCACAAAGCTGGCCCTGCTCCAGGACCCCCGTGTTTCTCTCTCTACATCTTGCTTCTGTCAAGTCCCACCTGACCCCTTGCCTGCCCACGCACTCCAATTTTCCAGAGGGAGAGGCTGGATTCACACAGTTAAGACTCGGAGACCAGTTGTACCCACAGTGTGCCTAGGCACGCTAACCACCAGCACACGGATTAGCCTGGTATGTGGACTCTGGTCTTAGGTCAGGCCCCTGAAAGTAGCCTCTGCTGTGAGGATCCCTGTGCAGGGGATTTCTAGAGGAAGTGCTCCCAGGGGAGACCTGTAGGGAAGCAGGGAAGGGGAGGAAACTAAGCAAAGGTGCGTTCCCCCGCAGAGACCCTCGAAGGGGCCTTGCCTGTTCCCATAAGGCAGGGGTCCCCAACCCCCAGGCCGCGGACCAGTCTGTTAGGAACCGGGCTGCACAGCAGGAGGTGAGTGGTGGGCGAGCAGGTGAAGTTTCATCAGCCACTCCCCATTGCTCCCCGTCACTCACATTACCGCCTGAACCATCCCTACCTCCCGTCTTCCGTGGAGAAATTGTCTTCCAGGAAACCTGTCTCTGGTGCCAGAAAGGTTGGGGACCGCTGCCGTAAGGGGCTCTAGAGTGTGAGTGATGCCTCAGAGTTGTCTCCACCTGGCATTTCAATGCTCCCCGTGTGCACCCATCAGTCATTGATTAAGGGCCACGCCCCGTGTGGGTGGGCACATCTCTTCCTAGGCACTGCTGGCTCTCTGTGCATACGGTCCCTATAGACTGAGGACCAGCTTCTAAAAAAGAAACACAGGTGCTAGCTCTTGGAGGTCAACACCAAAGTGAGGGAGGGGTCACAGGCATTCTAAAGCCCTGGATTCGATGACTTCCCAACATCCTGACCCTACCTGCAGCTGCCCTGAGAAAATGCTGAGGTACACGACCCCAGAATTCCACTGGGAATGTTTGTGTGTGATCCCTCCTGCCAGTGAATCAGGAAGTAGCAGGTGACGGGCAAGTGGTGACCGGAAGATTATGTGTATTTCTGAGCTTTTATTTACCCTAACATTTTAAAAATTAATCTTAGGCTACGTAAGTAAGTAATACAAAACTCAGATTCCCTATTTTGAAATGAATGAATTGCATAACAGTGTTTTGTTAGAACTATGTGAGCTTCTGAGTCTGTCACAGGAACAAATTTTACACCAACTCTGCTCAGCTATTTTGGCACCTGCACTTAGTCCCAGGTGATTCCTATTGGTCTTGAGCGATGCATATCATTAGATTCATTAAGGATGGGATCCGCTAAGAATAGGATTAATTATTAACAATCAAACATATGAATACAGTTTTATAACAGCTTTGTTGAAGTATAATTCACATACCATACAATTTCCCTATTTAAAGTGTACAGTTCAGTCATTTTTAGTATATTGATAAAATTGGGCAACAATCAGCACAGTCGATTTTAGAAAGTTTTCATCACTCCAAAAAGAAACCCCCATACCCATTAGCATTCTTTATTCCCACTAAGGATTTGGAAAACCTTAGTCCTAAGCAAAAAATATTTAGGGCTGGTGGACCATCCCTCTCGTTCCTAATTTCAGGAACCATCCAGAAAGCCCTCTGGGAACAAATAGCTCTGGAAAATCCTCTGTTATCTACATGCACTTGGGAGAGTCATGACTTCGATTGCCTTTCTGACTGCCAGACTCAGGGACTGAGAAACAGAAGAAAGGGAAAGGCTATATCAACAGAAAGAAAGGGAAAGGCTATATCAACTCAATCAAGCCATGCCAATAGGTCCGGCCCGGGTCCAGTCCAAGAGAAACGTGAACATTTGCATCCCCAGCTACCGTGAGAGCAGCAGTCCCCTCCAGCACACGAGGCAGAGTTATGGCCTGTTTCTTTCCTGAACACCAAGAGGCCCTCAAGTCACTTCCTAAAGAGGTCTTGCATCTCCAAATTCCAGCTTGGAGAAAACAGGGCGTTCCTTACACAGGAAGCTGGCCATGATGGCTGACCCAGTTTATACACTTCTGTTCCAAAAAAAAAGCCGCCTTTTAGGAGAAGAAAAGAGCAACGGAGCACCCAGCTAAGCGTGTTAGAAAATCTTTAAGAAATAAATTGACAACATTATTAAGGGATTTACGTCTGACGAAACATTTTTTTAAATTCTTGTAACGGAGACAAAGAGTTTAGAAAAAATCATCTATGAGCCCCAGGGTTATTAAGTCAATTAAACATATACCTGCATGTAACTTTGCTGTAATAAAAGTCCTGCCCAGAGTCTGGTGTTACCGAGTGAGGTACACTGAGTAAACACTCATTTGAAGACCTTTCCGCTGGAACGTAAGAGTAAGGCAGTGAAAAGAATATATGTTCTGAACATCACATCGGCCCCATTAGGAGGGCTCTGTGATCACATTATTATGTGCTTTGTCTTCAGAGACTTCCCTGTCTTTTTCACCCATAAGCAGAAGAAGTCCTCTCCATCTCATTATCAGGCTCCCAGGGCCCGTTCTCTCTGATGTGCCTCCCTCCCTCACTTTGGAGCTCGACTTCCTTGAGATCTGTCATTGTCACCTTTATTATAATGGAGTCTTACAATCCCACAGCCAGTGACACTCAGGGGAGGAGCATGCTGATGAGGAAGGTGGGGATGCCTGGAGGAGACGTCTGTGATGGAAGTTTCCACAGAGGCGACACTGCAAACAGGCAGGAAGAATGAAGGTCTGGTAGGGAGATGGGCACTTCACCGCCCAATTTTCCTCCCGTGGTCTCGTGCAGGAAAAAGGAAGAAAGGCCGTGGAGGGTATCCATGAAAGGGGACCCTGTGTTACTTTAGTTGCAGCAGGCAGGAGTATTCTCTTCTCAGGTAGAACAAGCAGAGTCTGGTACACACAGGGGCAGACGAGTAAACAGACAGAGGTGATGCGTTTTCTTTGTGGCATCTGTGGGCAAAAGGAGCTTAAAAGGCCCGTGGGAGGAAGGAATGATAGCTGGTTTCCTTTTCTCTCGTTGAATAGAGCCTCTGATTCAATGGTAGGACAGTTAACCAGGCCAATAGAACATGATGGGCTTCTTTCATTCCAAGAAGAGACTAGCCCTCCATGGGTGTTACTTAACTAGAAGAAGGTCAAAGATCACTGAGTATGATTCACCCACATTTAGGGGGCAGAATTGACCTAGAATGTCATAAAAAAGCACCAAAAGTGCAAGAGCAGTATTTTTAGAAGCACACCTAAGGGATGGCCAAACAGAAAGGCAGCAACAAATCAAAAAAAAAGGTTTAATCCTTCTAATTTGTCCACTTTGGCCCAAACAACAGAATTTAATCAAGTTCATATGCAGATGTGATTTGGGTGACTTATTTAACACTCTATAGATGAATACAGATCAGGTCTATCTATCTATCTGTCTGTCGGTCTGTCTATTTTTGGTATTTTTCTCCCTAAGAGTGAATAATTATCAAGACAAAAATAAATTTAAAATGTACACCGCAACATCCCGAGTTGCAAAAGGACCCCACAGATTTATAAAATTGTTTGTGGCACTCTCAATCTTTTTCATTACTTTTTGAGGCTGCAAGGAAAAACACACCGCAATCTTGAGGAGAGATCCGGTCCAATACCATATGAAAATGGCACACAAGTTGCTCTGCCATTTTGAACAGAACAAAAGGGAAAAAATGAAGAGTTGTGGGAAAGGAAGAAAATGTACGCTATCAGATGAGATAACCCATGGGCTCAGTAAGAAAAAGATACAGGGGAGCTATTGCAGGTAGAAAAATGCTGCAGCAGGAAACTCTTCTGCTACTAAGGGTGGTAAAGGCCAACTTAAGAGGAAAGCCAAGAGATCCATAATCATCTACAAGAGGAAATAGGTTGGGGCAGTGAAATAGGACACCTCGCTCAAAGTTATCCAAGGGCAGTTGCAGGGTGATTGTGATTCTAGGAGAGATCACAGTGCAGGAGAAGCATGATGAAGGTAACTGTTGATGAATATCCACTAGGATAAATTCCAGTGGGTTAAAGATGCAAGCTAAAGGTTTTTTTTAAAGATTTATTGGAAAACATGGAATTCTTCTATAACTTGGAACGGAGGAAAGCATTTCTTACTATGACTCAAAATACAGAAGAGACAAGAGAAGACTGATTAATTTGTCTAAATAAAAAGTAAAACTTCTGAATGGCAAAAAAAAAAAAAAAGAGGAGAAGGAAGAGAGGGAGAAAAGCAGAAAAACAGAAAAACAAAGGACAACAAACTGGAAAAAATATTCATATTGCAGACAAAGAGCTAATCTTCCTATTATGGAGTGATTTTTATAGAAATTGAAGAGACTAATAGACAAAAGACGACTATCAGTTCACAGAAATAGAACTAAAAAGAGCTCAAATGAATGAATATATGCTCAACTTCACTCACAAGAGAAATGCAAATCCAAATGACATTGCAATATCATTGATACAATTCCAAAGTTTTGATGACAGGCTGTTCAATTGGGTTCTCCCAGAAGCAGGCCCTGAGATGAATATTTCA